CTTGATGGCCTGGATTAACGCATAGTCCGTTCACTTTTCTGCTCCAAGCTGCTGGGTTCTGCATTAAGTTCTTGTGCTTCTGGGGCCGTGGCTGTGCTGGGGAGCCGCTCGTGGGGGGCAACTGGTGACCTCGGTAGGGCGTGAAGGACGGACCAGAACGCCCCTCTTCCCATGAGGTTTTAGTCGCCCCCACACCCCCGGCTCATACCTGCTGTCCACAAGGCTCCCATGTGGCCGCCATCTTTCTTTCCAGAGGGAGGAGGGCGGAAGGGAGCAACACCCTTTCCCCTCTGGGCAGAAATGATTGCCTGGATTAACGCATAGTCCTTTCACTTTTCTGCTCCAAGCTGCTGGGTTCTGCATTAAGCCCTTGTGCTTCTGGGGCTGTGGCCGTGCTGGAGAGCCGCTCGTGGGGGGCAACTGGTGACCTCGGTAGGGCGTGAAGGACGGACCGGAACGCCCCCCTTCCCATGAGGTTTTAGTCGCCCCCACACCCCCGGCTCATACCTGCTGTCCACAAGGCTCCCATGCGGCCGCCATCCTTCTTTCCAGAGAAGAGAGGGCGAATGGGGCAACACCCTTTCCCCTCCGGGCAGAAATGATGGCCTGGGTTAACTCATCGTCCGTTCACTTTTCTGCTCTAAGCTGCTGGTTTCTGCATTAAGTCCTTGTGTTTCTGGGGCTGTGGCCATGCTCCAAACTTAACTCTGATTTTCAGGGAGAAAGATTGGATGGTTTACTTCTCATTGATCACTTTGTACATAGAGAGAAAAAGTTTTGAGAAAAAGTCCTCGTTCCCGCATACTCGAGCTGTGTTTGTAGAGGCTTCTGGTCACCAGGGTTCCATCTGGGGGAGGCGGGATGCGGCGCCTACTCCATCTGGAACTTGCCGGTGCTCTCGGCTCTTTTTGGAACCTGTTTTTTCTTTTTTCTTTTCCTCCGGGATCCCGCACCCTCCATGTGTTCCTTCTCTTATGATATTTTTTCTTTTAAAAGTTTTAATTAAAAATTGTATTTTTATTCTAGAGCGGTTTGGAGCCATACCTGCTGATTTTTCACGGGTCATCTTGGTTGTGTTTGGGGCACCAGGGATTGAACCGGAGTCCTACAAGGCAAAAGTCTTAACCCAGGTTCCATCTCTCCAGTCCTCTTCCTTTTTTACTTTTGGCTTTTGGGTCACACCTGGTGATGCTCAGGGGTTATTCCTGGCTCTGCTCTCAGGAATCACTCCTGGCAGTGCTTGGAGGGACCATATGGGATACCTGGGACTGAATTTGGGCTGGCCACGTGCAAGGCAAGAGCCTTACTTGCTGTACTCTCTGGCTGAGCCCTCTTCTTTTTTAAGTTTCCCTAGACACTAGGAAAGAGGTAAAGAAGTGAAAGGGTATGTGCTTTTAAAAAGGCCACCCTGAACTGGTGCAGAAAAGCAGAAATTATTATCATCATCATCATTTTGTTTTGGGGCCACATCTGGCAGTGTCAGGGGTTACTCCTGGCTCTTTACTCAGGAATTACTCCTGGCGGGCTCAGGGAACCATATGGGATGCTTGGGATTGAACCTGGGTCAGCTGTGTGCAAGGCAAGCACCCTACCTGCTGTCTATCTCTCCAGCCCAGTAAATCAGAAATTATGGTACAAGTTTTCTTTACAGCATAGGCAGTTTGGCCCTGCTTGAGCCTCAAATCCAAGTCATCTATAATCCAAACTCAGCATGATTTTCTTCCTTCATGTAACAGTAGCAACCATTTATTAAACATGTGGCAGATACAGTGTTGGTGGTCTTATCTATTTCCTAATTATCCCAATCAAGTTAATCATTATCCTCATTTTACAGAGGAGAAAACGGAGGATTACAAACTTTCAGTAACTTAAACAACTTTTTTTTGGGGGGGGAGGGGGAAAGGGGGTTTTTTTGGTTCACACCTGGTGATGCTCAGAGTTTATTCCTGGCTCTGCACTCAGGAATTACTCCTGCCAAGTGCTGTTGGACCATATGAGATGCCGGGGATTGAACCCAGGTCAGCTGTGTGCAAGGCAAGTGCCCTACCTGCTGTGCAATTGCTCAAGCCCCGAACTTGATATTTGGATGCAGATCTGATTCCAAAGCCCAGGCTCTTTTCACGGTGCTTTGAAATGTCGGTGATTTTTATTGCCAGGAATTCTTGCTGGGGTAATGTTGGGGCTTGCTTGCACTCATGATTTTGGCAGTTGCCAACAAAAGAAGATCAGAATAATCAAATGCTTCTTTATTTCTGAGGAGGCTCACCAGCACCCCTTTCCTGTACAGAGTGGCTCTGAGTTGGCTTCCCAGATGCTCCCATTGTGACAAGGGATAATTTAGTGGCTGCCAAAGGAGGCACTGTCCCTGTGCTCTGGAATATCTGATCACTTACTGTTGGTAGGTGGAAGGAATGTTGACGTTTTTACCCATTGTCAAGGCAAAGGGGGAAAAAAAATCCAACAACTTAGGACAAAAATAACAACATAAAGTAAATCAATATAATATGATCAACAGACGTATGTATTAGAAATTCTGGGGGGGATGGGGGGTGGAAGGGATGCTGGGACCCGTGGTGGTGAAGGATGGGCGCTGGTGGAGGAATGTGTACTGGATCACTGTATAACTGAAACCCAAGCACAAAAATTTGTAAGTCTATAACTGTACCTCATGGTGTTTCACTAATAAAAAAAAAATAAAATAAAAAACTCAAATCATGTGCCATATTAAAAAAAAAAAAAAGAAAGAAATTCTGCCCATAACAGTGTATCACCAAAGGGGTCAGATATGTAGCTCAGTGGATGAGCACATGACTTGCTTGTGTGACATCTTGGCTTTGCTGATTTCCAGCAAAGAGTAAAAAAAAAGTATCACAAAAGTCAGACGCTTCAATATTAGACAGCAATATATCTATAGTTTTATTGCTTGCTGGCATATGAATTCCAAAACTTCAGCTGTTAGTTTACTTAGCTGAAGAACAGTCAATAGAAGGAAATTCCAGCGTGTCTAGAATTTTGATAATCCCTCAAGTGTTATCTGGAACAGGATCTGGCCACATTGTGCTCCTCCAGGAAGGATGTCGCTAGAGGTAGGCTTGAACCCGGCAGTTACTTTTTTTTTTTCTGGTCCACTATATGTGGTGATTACCCTGTTGCTGCTGTTTTATTAGGAACCTGGGAGGAGAGAAGTTCTTCTTTCCCTATGTTTCTCTACTTAAGCTAGTTTAATACAGAATATTCTCTTGGTGACTTTTATTTTTTAAAGCAGTCCGGGAATTTCTATGCAGATTTAACCAGCGGTTTACACATTTGTTTGGCAAATGTTTATTAATGTCAAGTATAATTTGTGATTGATGTGTCAATAACAGTTCACTCTTGTATCACTTAATATTAAGTAAATATTACAACTAAGGTATTTACTTAATATTAAGGTATTTACTTGCATGTGGCCAACTGGTTTTCAATCCCTGGATTCACAGAAGTAGGAGTAAACTCTGAGCTCTGCCAGGTGTGACCAAATATATATATATATATAAATATATATATATTTCTAGAAATAATTTTTCCATCTACACTGACAGGGCACTACAGAAAGATCCTGTATCTGGAATCTGACTTCAGACTATCAGTTCAGCCTCTCAACTTTGACGTTGGAGAAATCACCTCATTTTAGGACAAGGTTCCTAATTTTCCACCTTACATCTATGAAGATGAATGGCAAGAAACTATGGCTTCAAATTTTTAAGGTTTAAGGGAGATGCACAGAGAGGAACTGGCCATCTCAGAAGCGAGTGAGGAGGGAGTTTTGACGGCTTCTGTGTTACTGGTCACGGGGTCCACGGACCATGCATGGTGTGCCTCAAATCCTGTTCCCCAAGTTCTACTTCCTCCGCAGATCCAGGCTTGCCCAGCCACGTAAGCACAATAGCGCTAGATCCTGCTTAGACCTAAAGCTAGAGGGATTGTCAAAAAATCTGAAGACACCGGGATTTCCTTCCATTCTGTTCAGATAAGTAAACTAACAGTTGAAGCTTGGGATGCATGAAACAGCCCAGCACTATTGATAGATGCTGCAGTCTTCATTCATTCCTTTGGAGTACTTTTCCAGATAACATGCTCCAACCTCAGGGCATCTTCTGTGATTCTGTTTGCTGCACTTGCTCCAAGATGGCACATTTTGGAAAAGTCAATTCTTTCTTCTCTTGGAATCGCTCATTCCAAGAATATAAAATGCTTGATAACTTAGTATCAGGCATGAGACTGGATATATATAGGAGACTGGATGTCAGGCATGAGTCAGACTAGCGACTATAAAACCTGCAGCAGTATATAATCTAAAGGCAATTTAAACTCTCTGCTCCAAAACAAAGAGCCGTGACTTTCTCCCTCCCTAAAAAAAAAAAAATAGTAAGCAGATTTGGGAGCTAGTGTTCAGCCTCCCTGCAAAGACATAGAAGCAAGGGTGGTAGGGGGCAGCCAGTGAACCTTATTCTGGCCTGTGCTGGGGGGAAGGGGGGGTTAGAGATCGCCGTACGACTCCCCTCCCCCCACAAGCGCGGCTGGGTGCGGGGAAGGGCAGAAGGGGACCACCGGCGTGAGTTCCCCAGTCCAGTCCACTTCCGGTCCTGAGATGCAGATGAAGCGGTGTGAAGGGTTGGGCTTTTTTTTTTGTTCCTAAAAAAATGCAACGAACAAAAAAAAAAGTACAACAATCCAAACCCAACCAGGTCGTGGCGCGCAGACGTTTTTCTCGCGGGCGGGCGGGCGGGTCAGCGGACCGCGCGGCTCCCGGGGGCTCCGCCGCGGCCGCGGCCGCCGGGGTCGGGGTCGGGGGCGCGCGCGTCGGGGGCGCGCCGACGGGCGGTTGCGGGGCCGGAAGAGCTGGCGCCGCACCTCACAGCGCCCGCTGGGCCGGGAGCGGCAGGCCGGGGCGGCGGAAGCCGGGCGACGCGGGGCCCGGGAGGCGGGGCCGGGCTGCGGGCGGAGGCGGAGGGGGCGACGCCGCGAGTCCATTTTGTGGCCCTGCCCGGGACTGGTGGTGGACGCGGGCCCTCCTGGCGGGGCCGCCTCCCTCTCCCGCCGCCCGACGTCGGCCACAGGTATCCGCAGCCGGGCCCTGGCCCCGGGAAGCCGCCGCGGCCCGGGCAGTCGGGGCAGCGCGCGGGTCCCAGCAGCAGCAGCAGCAGCAGCAGCAGCAGCACCGCGGGCCGGGCCGGCAGCCGGGCGGCGGCGGACAAAGGCCGCGGGATCCCCGCGCCGGGCGGCGGGGGTCGGGGGTCGGGGGTGGGGTGGGGGTGGGCGCTCACCACCCTTTGTGCCTCTTGCAGACGCTTCCTGGCGCACCCACGCCCCAGGCCCGGGCGCCCTGCTCCGGGACCCGGACCCCGCCGAGGACACCTGCGTGGGGGAGACAGAGGGGAGCGCGCTGCTTCCCACGGTAAGGACTGGGGGGAGGACGGGTTCCCCCCCGACGCTGGGGCTCCCCAGATTCCGCTCGGGTGGGCGATCATTCGCCGCCACTCACGTCTTGGAGGAGGCGGGCCGGCGTTCTTATTGATTTTTTTTTTTTGGTCAAAGCTCGAAATGCAGCCCATACGCGGAAATTCTCTGTGGCGGTTAGAGAAATGTGTTACGATCCAACGATGCATATTGCAAAAGAAAATAAGTTTCAGCAGTTCATATATATATATATATACACACACATATATGTATATATATGTATATATATATATAAAACATATCAACCCCTTTTATATCATGCTGCTAGAGCTTATATTTAGGCCGAGTTTTCCGTCTGGAGATTTTTTTTTAACTTAGAAGATATTTTAAAAGCATCATTTCATAGACAGGGCTGGAGCGATAGCACAGTGGTAGGGCATTTGCCTTGCACGCACAGGGGCAACCCAGGTTCGATTCCTCTGTCCCTCCCGGGGAGCTCGGCAAGCTAGTATCTCGCCCGCATGGCAAAGCCTGGCAAGCTCCCCATGACGTATTCAATATGCCAAACACAGTAACAACAAGCCTCACAATGGAGACGTTACTGGGACCGCTCGAGCAAATCGATGAACAACGGGAGGACAGTGACAGTGACAATTTCATATACGTAGCACTGCTATAGTAGGATTTGATGAAACTATTGATAGGGCTGTCTTGCTCATTAAGAAGATGCAGCTTCTTTATTAAAATGCCATCTTCATTTTTCCCCCGCACCAGCTGGCGTGATTGGACCTCCTTGGTAAGTCCTTTTGTAACACTAGGTCTTTTTATTCTGTATATTTGCCACGCCTTACTTGAGTTCCATTTGCATGAAACTCCTTTTTTTTCTATTCTCCTGTGTAGCTCTTGCTTTGCCGTCCCTGAAATTGAGCTGGAAAGTTCACTTGTCTTTTGGGACCCCCCCCCCCCCCTTTTTTTTTTAAGTAGACTCATGTTTAACATAACACTTTAAATGTGTATTTACAGTTTTCTCATGGTATTTGTACATACATAATTAAAGCACCTTAGAGTTACATAGTTTGATTGATGGTTTACAAAATTGTCACAATATTGCCAAGAACATTATGAGGTAGGTATGGTAAAATCCCTTGTTCTATACAATGTCATTGTATAAAACTGGTGTTTGAACCAGGTACTCCTGGTTTGAACCGGTTTGCTAAAGCAAGTTCAGGCCTTTTCCCCCCTGTTGTTGGAGAACCTGTTGTCACATAATTTACAACAATCAAAGTTTTAGAAGTTTTTAGAGAGCCATGACTAAGTGCCTTTTGATTAGGATACTGAATTTTTGACCCTCTTTTGGGTTCTTATTGTGGTCTAAGAATTGGGAAGTTCAGGGTCTAGATCTAGTCCTGCTGTGTATGGTTGAGAAATCTCCACTGGTAGAAGAGAAGAGTGGGAAACTCAGTTTAGTCTCTTCAAAAGTTTGTAGCTAGATATCTAAAATACTTTAAAGAATCCTATATTATAATTTCTGTAAGCATACATTCTTTATGTATATAGGATATATATATATATATACACTAATGCTGCATTAAACTGTTTAATTTGGGTTGGTATGATAAGAATATGACTTAAAAAAACTAAGCTTAGGTTGAAGTGATAGTACAGTGGGGTCATGCTTGCCTTGCACGTGACTGACAGAATTTGATCTCTGGCATCTCATGTGGTCCCATGAGCCCCGTCCCTGGGTGTAGAGCAAGGAGTAAGACTTGAGCACTGCTGGGTGCGACCTAAAAACAAAACCAAACAGCTCTATAAAATTATGGTTCCATTCTAAGGATAGGAACTGCACAAAGAGGTGGTGCTCATAAATCATTAGCTAAGACTTTGTGAGGTGGAGGGAAACTAAAGATTCTGGAGCGATAGCACAGAGGTTAAGGCATTTGCCTTGCAGGTGGCCGACCTGGCCAACCCAGGCTCAATTCCTTCGCCCCTCTCAGAGAGCCCGGCAAGCTACTGAGAGTATCTTGTCTGCAGAGCAAAGCCTGGCAAGCTCCCCATGAAGTATTCGATATGCCAAACACAGTAACAACAAGTCTCACAATGGAGACGTTATTGGGCCCGCGTGTGCAAATCGATGAACAACGGGAGGACAGTGACAATTAAAAAACCTTAAAATGTTTCTGTTGAGTCATGTAATAATTAAAGAAACTAAGGAAATAGAGCTGTAGACCAAAGCTTTTCTACAGGTTAATCTTTCATGTTATAAGGGCTGGAGCAATAGCACAGCGGGTAGGGTGTTTGGCTTGCACTGACCTGGGTTCGATTCCCAGCATCCCCTATGGTCCCCCGAACACCACCAGGAGTAATTCCTGAGTGTATGAGCCAGGAGTAACCTCTGTACATTGCCAGGTGTGAAAAAAAAGAAAAAAAATTCATGTTATATAATATCCAGGAAACTAAAGAAATCTAATAACCAACAAAATTTTTCCATGAAAAGGACTTTGTTTTGTTTTATATGGAAGGGGAAGTAAGTGTTACAAGTGGGAAAAAAATAGGTAAAAACTATATGTCTCTGCTAATCTTAAAATAGCATGGGGAGCAGACAAACATGAAATTGGAGGTTATGTGCTAACATAACACTGGAAGATACATACCAAAATAGTAATAGTTATTCTGTTCCTATGTGATAACGGGTGATTTATCCCCTCTGAATTTTCTATAATTACATAACTTTCATAAAGACTAATTATAGGAGAATAATTAGTATGTAGGTTTCCTTAAAATTAAGGTACTCTTTTTGTTTAAATTGATTTTATCGGTTGGAAAGTCTAGGTAACCTCTTCAACTTCAGTCTGTTACATCTTTCTGGGGTGTCGGGGGGTCCTCCCGTGTTGAGGGGACAGAGGCCACTCCTGATGATACAGCTGTGTGAGCTTGTGTGAGGGCACAGAGGTGTAAAGCTGCCTGTGCTCAGCGGTGTTGGGGATAGCCGGGGCCACAGCTGGTGATGTTGGCAGGGAGTGGCCATGAGGTGCCTGGGGTTGAGCTTGAGGCCATCTTCCTTACCTTTTTTCTGTCCTTTGTAGGTGGCATTTATCATACTTTCTGTATAAAAGTATGTTCATAATGTGCTGTATTTCTGAATTTAGGACAGATTAACTTTATTATTAGGTCATTTGATTATTGATTTCTGTTATTCATAAAAGACACTGCCGTTGTCATCTTGGTCTGAGATTCTCTAAGTACTATAAGAATTAAGTGCAAGTTCTATCCCAGTTAAGTCTTTTATAATGCAGATTCCGATGCTGTGAACTCTTCTCATTCATTTGTTACAGCTATTGGTGTATTTCTTTTTAAAAATTTTAAAATGTATTTTCATAAAGTTCTTTATGATTTAATATATTCAATATTCCAATACCAATTCCACCACTAGTGACTATTGGTATATTTCTAAGGGAAAATTGAACTGAAACTTTTTGCTGAAAGTTTATTGTCACTCCTATGGCATAACTGCCACAAATATATCCTACTTGAACAGTAGCCTGGTATGCCCCATTTAATCTCCCAGGATAGGGTTGGGAGGTTGGAGGGGTGCAAAGGGTTATCTGAAGTGCCAGTCATGTGCAAAGTCTTGAGATTGATCCTGGCGCTGCATAGCCAGGAGCAGTGCTGGGTTGGTCCCTACTGAATAAAGAAAAACGCTCAGAGGAGCTGTTCCTATTTCCTCCGCATACCTGCAGTATTGAGTATCAGTGACTAGTGCCAACATAATACATACAGTAGCATCAACCTAAAAATTGCTTTAGTATAATTCAATTTTTACTATGTTTTAGTTAGGTTTATTAGAATAAGATGTTTATGACAGGAGCCTGAGGTATAGCAGGTAGGGCGCTTGCCTTCCCTGTGGCCAGTCTGGGTTGATCCCAAATACCCTCTGTGGTCCCCCAACCCCTGCTAAGTGATCCCTGAGCATTGCAGGGTGTGAGCCCCCATATATATATGAAATTCTCCACTAAAGGAGCTTTGTTCATATCAAGATTTCTAGTAGTCATCTCATAGTTACTTTAGAAGTAGTTTATAGGTAGTGCTTAATCAGTTTTCTACCAGTAACCTATTTCCACGTGGCAGCACAGTATTAGATATTATCTGTGTAAATAATCTGACTTATCCAGGTAAATCTAGTTGGCGAATACTATCTGCATGCCAGACTTTTTTTTTTTTTTGCATGCCAGACTTTGACAGTGCCTTGTTAGAGCTGGAATTAATCTTAAATACAGAGTTATATTATAAAAACTACTAGTAGCATTCTGTAGAGATAATAATTTAGGTCAGTGATTGCCAAGTTTATGGTTATAAAAGAAAAGAATTTGTTTTAGGGGTGAAAGATCGCTGTCTTGGGCTAGACAGTAGGTCCAGTGGGTCAAGTTCTTGCTTTGTATATGGCTACCCTGGGTTTGATCCCTGATATCCCCATAGGGTACCCTGAGCACGGTCAGAAGTGATCTGAGTGCAGAGCCAGGAGTAACTCCTGATCATTGGCAGGTCTTACCCCAAACCAAGCAAAATTGCTCCTCTTATTTCATAGGTGATTATCAAGTGACACAGGAGAAAAGAAAAAAAGGGAAAGTGAAATAAAGTGAAGCAGGAGGCGTGGAAGGGTAAGACACAAATAAGGAAATCAAAAGATTGTACTCTGGAACAATATGGGAAAATGAGTTAAAAGAAGAAGCAAAAGAGTAGAGTCAAGGAGAAATATTGGTGCAGAGAAGAAAAGGAAAGGGACAACAACTGAGAATGCTCTTGTCTTATAGGTTAATGATACGAATTTTGAGAATGTTACCTTAGTCCAAAGAATCATGATCACGACCATCCTGTTGTTCGTCGATTGCCTCGAGCAGGCCCCAGTAACGTCTCCTTTGTCCTATCCCTGAGATTTTTAAAAAAGTGCCATATTCAAGGCTCTTTCAGAGTTAGGAGAATGAGACCCATCATTGTCAT